AAACAGCCCTAATCCTGTGAAATAGGTGCTGGGACCCCAACATTGGGGTCTTCTAGGGCGTCCTCTGGAAGAGCAACAAATGCTCTTAAACACGGAACCTTCTCTCCAGCCTCTTTTTGTTTTGTGTTTGTTTTGGTTTGGTTTGTTTTTGTTTTGTTTTGTTTTGGTTTGGTTTGGTTTGCTTTGCTTTGCTTTGCTTTTGGGTTTTGGGTTTTGGAAAACGGATATCTCTGTGTGATCCTGGCTGTCCTGGAACTCTCTCTATAATATATAGGCCTTGAACTCATAGAAATCTGCCTGTCTCTGCCTCCCAAGTGCTAAGACAAAGGTGTTCACCACCATCACCACCCAGCTCCACCCGCCCCACCCCATTTTATTCTCCTATACCCTTACACTCCTCTTTCCTAGGAGAGGATAACACCAAGAAGTGGGTGTGGCTTTTCTTAGGACTGTTTACATTAAAACTACATTTTGTGCTTGACCCTTTTGTTAATAGCCGGCAGGCAGCAGGACGGTGAGCAGCCCTCTACAGCTGTGATACTCCTGTGTAGGAACCTGGTAAGGAAGGGGTTGTTTCACTCAGGCTGTGTTACTAAACGTATATACAGGATATCAGAAGGCCCAGGGAGCAAATTCTTGGTGAAAGTTGTTCAGCGGTGGCAAACTTTCAATCCCAGCAAATGGGGGTGGGGGTACAAAGTCAGGAGGATCTCTGAGTTTGAGGTCAGTCTGGACTGCACAATGAGTTCCAGAACAGCCAGGGAAGTTACAAAGAAAAATTGTGTCTTGAAAAACAAACAAACAAAAAGAAATGGTCAAGCAAAATTAAAAGAGTTGCGGGAGGCCTCAGTGTAGTTAGTTCCTTTTGTAGACTTCTGACTCAGAATGCTCTAAGCTTTAAGCCCTTGACTTGGTTCCCAGCACCGCACAAACTGAGCATGATGGAACATTTCTGCAACCCCAGCACCCCAAAGGTGGTGGGTCAAGAAGATAAGGAGTTTGGGGTTATCCTTAGCTACATAGTGAATCTAAGGCTATGCCAGGCTATATGAAATCCTGTCTCAAAAAACGTAGGTTTTTTTTTTGTGTTGTTGTTGTTGTTTTGTTTTTAGTATATATTTGTAAAAAGCAATAGGGGTTCATTATCACATTTTATAGAGATTTATAATGAACTTTGCCATTTATCTTTTTTATTGTTTTGAGAATCTCATGTGTATGTATATAACACAGTTCAATCAAATCCAACCCTGTCTCCCTCTCCTCCAATTCCTCCCCTATCCTTCCTACTACTTTTTTCTCCCAATTTCATGTGCTCTTAAAAAAAAAAAAAAAAAACCTGGGGCTGGAGCGATGGCTCTGCAGTCAGGAGCACTGACTTCTTACAGAGGTCCTGAGTTCAGTTCCCAGCAACCACATAAATGGTGGCTCACAGCCATGTGTAATGCGATCCTGAGGAAAAAAGGCTCATGCCTTTAATTCTAGCACTCAGGCAGGCAGATCTGAGTTTGAGGCCAGCCTCAAAGTAGAGTGAGTTCTAGGACAGCGAGAGCTGCACTGATGAACCCTGTCTTGAAAAACAATGTGTGTGTGTGTGTGTCTGTGTGTCTGTGTGTGTGTCTGTGTGTCTGTATATAATATGTATAATTATATATAGTATATATTATACATATTTATGTATATATTATTACATATGTATATATTGTGTATATATTATAATGTGTATAATATATAATATATATTTGTATTATATATTTACATATACACACACATATATGTATTATATTAGAATAGAAGAAGCTTATTACAGTGGCCAGCCTAGTCTACAGAGTGAGTTTCAGGACAGCCAGGGATACACAGAAAAACCCTGTCTCGAAAAACAAACAAAAGCAAAAAAGAACATCTCAGCATCTTTGAGAGTTCCAAGGGCATGGGATGGCATCTCCTGTGAGAAACCCATTTTGCCTTTTATGCGCCAGAAGGGAAGATGTGAAGCTGACTCTTCAAAGAAGTATACTGTCTTTGAGTCCCAATGATTCTGTATTTGATCATGTCCACTGTGGGGTTTGTTTGTTTGTTTGTCTTTGTTTTTGTTTTGAGGTTTTATTGCATATAGCTCTCGCTAAGTTCTCACAGGAGACTGAGCTTTGCTGCAGGCCCCTTAATCTCAGCACATTGGTGCAGAGGCAGGCAGCTCTCTGAGTCTTTGGTCAGCCTACTTGGTCTACACAGTTCTATGCCTGGCAGGGGGAAAAAAGATTTACTGGGAAAGTTCCATTTCTTGGTGTCTCTTGTCTCAACACTCTGATAAACAAAATGAAGGAACTCAAGTGTCTCTTTGGAAGATCTCAGCCATGCAGTGGTGGTGATATTTTAGCTGGGCCTGGATGTAGTGGTGGCATTTTGTTGTTGTTGTTGTTGTTGTTGTTGTTTTTTAACCCCAGCACTTGAGAGGCAGAGGTAGGTGGATTTCTGAGTTCGAGGCCAGCCTGGTCTACAGAGTGAGTTCCAGGACAGCCAGGGATACACAGAGAAACCCTGTCTCGAAAAAAACAAAAAAAAAAAGAGTCTGTTTTTGCACCGGGCATGGCCATGCACTTGGGAGGCAGAGGCAGGAGGATTTCTATGTAGCCCTGGCTGTCCTGGAACTTGCTCTGACCAGGCTGGCCTCAAACTCACAGAGATGGGCTTGACTACCTCCCAAGTGCTAGAATTCCAGGTGACTTACCTGTGGAGATTTTTAAAAATTAATTAATTAATTAATTTAATAATTTGTATATGCTGAGATCTTACACGTTATAGCATGAGTGTATAGGGGAGAGAACATTCTACAGGAGTCGGTCTCTCATTCCGCCTATGGGTGCAAGGGATCAAACTCAGCTTGTCAGGCTTGGCAGCAAGCCCCTTTACTCACCAGACCATCTTGCCAGCCGTGTTTAGTTTTTGACAGACTAACTGACTCCCTTCCCTCTTTCCGATCTCTTTCTCTGCTCTCTTCTCTCCCCCCACCCCCGAACCCCCCTTCTCATCACATACCCAACTCTTGCCTCACATTTGTCTGTCTCTTGGTTTAGCATCTCAAGTGGAATAATAGTGATATAGTCACAAACCTCATGAGTGTGTGAGTGTGTGTGTGTGTGTGAGATTCTAGAGATTGAATGAATGCGGGCCCTTTTGCATGTGAGTGTCTTAACTGTGAGTTTTATCTTCAGTCTTTATATATGTGTCTCTCTTTTCTACTCCTTGATTATTACCGTTGTAACCACTGCAGGACTTGGGTCTGCATCTGGAATCTGCAATCAAAAAGGCCAGCACTAACGACGACTCAACCTATCTGACGACTACTCAGCCTCCTACCGTCTTACTTGCGTGAGAGACTAGAGGTTGACCAGAACTGACCAGAACTTCCCTTGTCTCTGCCTCACCAGTAAAAAGAGCAGAGGCACCGGAGCCCAACAGGACAGCATTTACTTCATTTTACTTCCGGTACTTGGTGTTATCATTTCTATTGTGATGATAAAGCACGCTGACTGACAAGCAAACAAACTTAGGGGAGAAAGGTCTACTTTAGTCCACAGTCACACAGCCCATCACTTTGGAGAAGCCATGGTGTAGGGAACTTGAAACAGCTGGTCATGTGACAGCCACAGCTGACACCTAGAGAATGAATGCAGGCATACAAGCTTGATGCTTAGCTATCTGTCTCTACTCTTAAAGTAGTCTGGTACCCCCAGACCAGGGAGTAGTGGCACACCCTTTCAAGCTGGGTCTTTCCACAGTAATTAAACAAGACAATCTCCCCCCTCCACCCACCCCACCCACCAACCTCATCTAGACAAAAATGCATTGAGACTCTATTTCCAGGTGATCATAGGTTGTGGCAAATAGAACTGTCACAATTAAACATTGCAACAGGGGAGAAAAAAACTAACTCTGTGTTTTCCAGCGAATGGGCACAAATATCTTCAAAACAGGCTTTAAGGCTAGAAGGATGGTTCAATGGTGAAGAGCACAAACGATCTTTTTTTTATATATATAAATAAATAAATTCTTTTTTTTTTTTTTTTTTGGTTTGGTTTTTCGAGACAGGGTTTCTCTGTATAGCCCGGGCTGTCCTGGAACTCACTCTGTAGACCAGGCTAGCCTCGAACTCTCGAACTCAGAAATCTGCCTGCCTCTGCCTCTCAAGTGCTGGGATTAAAGGCTTGCGCCACTGCTGCCTGCCTGAGCACAAACTATCTTACAGAGGACTGGAATATAGTTTCTAGCCCCTCACACTGGGTACTTAATAACTGCCTGTAATTCTAGTTCTAGGGGACCTGATACCCTCTTCAGGATTCTGAGGGCACTGCACACATGTGCACAAATGCACACACAGATAATTGATTTTTATAGTAAAAGGATACAAATAACTCCAATTATTATGAATTGTAATTAACAAACAAAAATTTAAATGTTAAAATTTTTTCCATAGTATGTTTTTTCCCCATAGTGTTTTTCTTGAGGCATAAAGAAAAGACTAAAAGCTGATTGTGGTCGGTTAAGAGTTTAACCAAGGGCTGGAGAGATGGCTCAGTGGTTAAGAGCACTGACTGCACTTCCAGAGGTCCTGAGTTCAAATCCCAGCAACCACATGGTGGCTCACAACCATCTGTGATGAGATCTGATGCCCTCTCCTGGTGTGTCTGAAGACAGCTACAGTGTATTCATATATAATAAATAAATAAATCTTTAAGCCGGGCGGTGGTGGCGCACGCCTTTAATCCCAGCACTTGGGAGGCAGAGGCAGGCGGATTTCTGAGTTCGAGAGTTTGAGGCTAGCCTGGTCTACAGAGTGAGTTCCAGGACAGCCAGAGCTACACAGAGAAACCCTGTCTCGAAAAA